AACGAGAGGCTTTGATACCAATTGAAGGATCATGCATCCTATGGAGGAGCGAAATAAATAAATTTTTTCCCCCATCTAAGGTCCCAAAATCAAGCCGTTGAATCTACTAACCATACATATATGAATAATAAGCTATAAGTAAAGGATTACCTTTTGTAGCACATATCTAAATTCTTTTTCTAAAAATTTGTTCAAATGTTCAGCCTCTATTAATGATTTACGTAGTCCAAGTATCTACAAAGAAGCACTCAAAATCGGTGGGGTGTTAGCTTCACCTTTTCCGATTTAGTATTTCCTCTAGAAATCAATCCCGGGTAATTTTGCTACAACATTAAAGCAGAAGGAGAGAGTATTTGTTGTTTGGGTTTAGGAGAAAATTATTTTCTTCTTTTTTCTCTCTATTAGCCGTGTGCCCTATTTAATTTTAGGGCTGGCCGAAACTTTGCTCTCCTTTTTTTCATTTGGCCAAATTTTACCTTTTTCTTTCAACTTGGCCAAAATACTCTTTTTGGGTTGATTAACCTCTCCATGCTGCACCTCTCCTCCTATAGGGGGAGAGTTTCCTTATCCTCCAAGGACAAGGAGAGGGGCGACCACAAGTCCTTTAAGGACTCTAGGTTGTTACTTCCTTATCCCTTAAAGATAAAGAGTTATTTTATATATGAACTATTTGATTATTATCTTTAAAAGATTCAATCTTATTCAATAAAGTTGATGTTTATTCTCCCACCAAAGTATCTTAAGGTTTTTAATTAAACCTAATGGGCCAAACCTATTTTAGCTCAATTAATTTATTTGGACTATCCAAATAAAAATTCTTGATTATTTTGATGGGATCCACACTAAGAAATTTTTTTTCTTCAAAATACCCTTTAACCTAAATTAGGAAACTCTTTTCCTTTTAGGTTCTTTATTTTCAGATTTTAAACTAACTTCTAAATGAGAAAAACCATTTCTAAAATAGAAAACTTTGTATTTTAGGAAACTTTCCATTTGGGAAACTCTTTCCAAAATTAAAAACCTTATAATTAGAAACTTTTTTCAATATTTTTGCTTCTCATTTATAATGTGAATACTTAAACTTATGTGTGTGACTCAATAGGCTCCTAGATATGTTGGTAATGTAACAAGAATAAAAGACTTATCTTTTATCTCTTGATACATAAATCAAGATTGGTCTTTACCAATGCATCATGACTATCCAATTCTCTAGGAGGATTAGTTAATCAATTATTTCCTTTCACGAGCATGGTTACCATACAATTTAGTCCTCATGTCAACTTATCACAAGTGTGATCTCGAACTTGGTTATCGGTCTTATTCGATTATGATCACATAAGTTTTCTTCGATTTCCAAATGTCCTAACTCTTAGAGTAACCAACTATGCTCTATTGATGTACTCCAAATGGGACCATAAATTTCTTGAGTAGACATTTATCGAAGTGCAATGTGATAACTCCTTTAGCATACAAAGAATGACATGTCCTATCTTAGTCATACACCTACTTCCATTAGATTCCTAATGCACCCAACGAATCACCATGTGCAACCTATTAATGGGTCCATCAAAATAAGTGTCAAAGTACATAAGTTCTCTAATAAGATAACCCCGACGACTTCAAGTCCGAGGACCATTTGTATTCATATCGTATGAGATTCCCATAGGCTAAAACCAAATGGGTTCTCATGACGAGTCATGTCTAGTGATATGTTCTCTAACATAAATCACCTAAGTACTTACTTAGGCATGACCATGTCACTAAGTGTGAGATCTCCTACTCGCTATCACATAGTATGAGCATAACACTCACAAGTTTATCCGTATTTTATCAATGCCCATTCTTGACAATGCTACGACTTGGGACATTTAATGACATCATTTATGTGCATTAGTATTTGTCTCACATCTTTCAATCAATCACTATTGTAAATGCATATCATAAGGACTTCTATCTAATTCTACCGAATTTATCAACATGTAAACATAAGAATTAATAGAATGACTTCTTTATTATTATTAAAATAAATGATGTAATAATACATGAACATGAGCCATTCCAAACATAATTGGATCTTGGGCATCAACACGAACGACCAAGTGCCCGAAGACTTGCATGGTGCTTGGTGTGCTCACGCACGTTTAGCCATTGGTTTGTTTGCGTGCTTGGTGGGGGCGAGCCTTGCCTATGCACGTGCCTAGCGTAAGCTTGACGTGTGCAAGGCATGTCTTGGCCCGGCTTTAGGCCCGATGCACGCTTAGCGTATGCCTATCATGTTACGCACCTAGTGGATGACCGACTTGGCTAGGAGGCCCGGGGTGCACGAGGCATGTCCGGCTTGTCGTGCACCCAACGCGTGACTAGCCATGCTAAAAGGCTTGGCATAAACGAGGCATGCTTACCCTATCGCATGGCTAGCACATGACTAGCCTAGCCACTAGGCACGTGACTAACCCGGCCCGTCGCGTGCCTAACGTACGACCAACCCCGCCTCCTTGTTATGCATGCAAGCCGCCAATGTCCAACTTTAGCCTTGTGCACCCCACTCTTTTTTAGCCCAAAATTTAGTTTTAAAACATATATAAAATACCAAAAAATTAGATTTACAATCGGTAATTGATAAATTCATGTAGTTAATCATAATTAACAAAGCATACAATTAAAGATTCAATGAAAGTTCTAATACCAATTGAAAAATTATACATCCTATAGATGTGCATAATAAAAAAAAATTCCTCCATCTAAGGCTCCTAAGATCAAACCATTGATTCAATTAATCATAAATACATGAATTAAAGCGTGAGTAAAGGATTGCCTCTTACAAGTGTAGATTTTAACTATTGCAGAAAGGAACCGATCAAATGTTCAACTCTATATCTATAATCCACGCAGTTCAAGCACCCAAACAAGAATCACTCGTAAATTATAAAGTGCTAGCTCTACTTTTTTTTACTTGTTTAATATTTTCCTTTAGGAATTTATTCGAGAGATATTTTTGTGACAACTCTAAAAGAGGGACTTCTATCTAATTCTATTCAATAAATATAAACAATAAGAATTAATAGAAAGAGTTTTTTTTATTAATGAAATAAATAATGTAATATTACAATAAGTCAAACCTATCCAATTAAAATTGGATTTAGGGCACCTATACTAACATGAACATCATTTGTGCCAAAATATTTATGTATACGATCCAAAACATGCCAAAATATTTGTGTGCATGATACAAAACCTTGTGTTGAGCAAGACTATCTTTAGTCTAATCGATTTGTGGTATAGTTTGAATTCATGTCAAAATTAAAAAAAAAAAAACAAAAACAAAATAACATGGATTAACATATGATAAAAATTAGTTAAGTTAATTAATTTTAGAAAAAAAATCTAGCACATACAACAACCAAAACAACCAAACCTAATTATGACATGTTTTTCTTTTATGTGGAGTTGATTTTTTGTGTCATGTTTGCTTGGATTTAGGTGTCGTTGCCTTCCTTCAATGAAGAATCCGAGTGAATGTGAGAACGCTTGAATTTGATGGGCATCAATGGTTGTTGTTGAAGGGTTTCTCCTCTTTCCCGAATTCCCCATCGATATTAGAGAACTAGAGGATTGCCACCCGATTTTAAAGACATTTTCCTTGTAGCACGGTGATCGTACCTTCAATTGGTTCCGTGGATGACGATTGAGGTGGATCATTGGTGTCAAATGACTTACTAGATGGGGAACAAATTCGACGATTAGCCAAAGACAACAATATTTTGCTTGTGGTTAGTTTTTTTGAAAATTTCCATTAGGCTAGGGGAAGCTATTTTGTTGGGTTAGCTTATGACTTAGCTTTTTGTTTGGGTTTTCTTAATTAGTTTCAATTGTAATTGGGCTTTTTATGCTCCCGTTGCACTTATCAAGCCTCGTGACTTTTCAAGGGTTGCACATCCGAGCAAAAAGGAAATCTCAAAACCAAATTTGAAAGAGTAAATTATAAATTAATTTTTAAGTTTTGAAAAATGAATTAATTAGTCTCTTTTGTTTTAAAAAATAATTAGTTATTAAGAAAATAATAGAAAAATTTTGTTTAAGATGAATTGTTTGTTGGTAAATGAGAATAAAAATGCCATTCATAAGTTTAGCAAATCCCTTCATTTAAATGACAATGTAACAATGTAACGTTTTACAAATTTAACCTTCTTTTTCATTTTTCCTTTCTTTTAGTCGAGGAATATTATCGAATAACTTTTTCATTTAATCAAATCGCAACCTTTTTTTCTAACTTCGAATTATGTCTCTTTAAGTTTTTATAAAAATTTCCGTTCATTTAGCTTTCTCAAGTGTAGTTCATACATGTCAAATACGTTACAGTTTAGGGATATATATTGAAATGCTAGAGCAAGTGGCGTTGATATAAAAGAGAAATGAAAGATTTGCGTCCAAAATCCTAGTAAAGGACACAATGGAGTAAAAAATTTACAAGTTTCAAAATGAAACTTTACCCCGTTTGTTGGTGACATTTTTGTTGCAAAATCACCATGACTGTTCTTGCCATTTTTTAGAATTCGAAAACTTGCATGCAACATATAAAATTTTATAAACTACAATTAAGAACCATATTGTTCAGCAAAACTAGAAATGGTTACACTGCCATCGTAATGATGGAAATCATCCGAAGCCTCCCGTGGTTACCTAAAAAGGGTTCTCTTTTCTGATAACTTCCCAACTTCCCAGGGGTATACCTGCTACTATCAAAGACATCAACACAGCATCCAATTGCATAGAAATTAAAAGGAAAGGAATAACAGAAATAACTGATATGAACATCACCTTGGAGTTCTTCCCATTAAATTGTGTAACATTTGCTATCAAAAACTAGTATTTGCAAGAATCTCAAACAAATTCCCAAGCTCCAACCTTTTTTCCTACCATGATTGAATAAATGAGTTTCATTAATGGCTCAGGTCGAGATTTCTAATGCAAAGAGAACTCAACTTCCACTGCCTTCAGGTTCATCTCCTATCAGCTTCTAAAGCATCACGACGCTGGGATATCTTTAAAAGGTCATTATCAATTTCTGGATTGTCTTGTGCCTTTGTCCGACTGTCTCCATCTGAATCATCTATTTTTACTTTTCAGGTTATACGCACAGGCATCTCTTCTTGTACATAAGCCTGGAAATTGTTTCTTGAAGGCTTTGTCTTGGTGCAGAATACTTCAAGAAAATTCCTTAAGCACCCCCAGTCATAGACATTGTGCCTTTGGCTGCTCCATAGCGAAAGTTTTCATATGTAGTCTGAAAAAATGTCAAAAGATTTAGAAACTGGGCCATTCGAAGGCATATAGAGAGTAAAAGACTACCGAGAACCATTGTGTCAAGAAAAAAATATCACTTTTTCATTCTCTAAGGGAAAACCTTTCAGCAGTAAGCCACATACGAGTTCTCCACAAAAATGACTTTAATAAAAGTTGAACGTACTTGAGCACAAGAAAAGGAATGGTTTCCTAGAAAAAAAAAAAAAAACAAACTAAGGAATGATCAATCTGACCTGGTTTCTGCCTATAAGACACAGATGGAAGCATGTGAGGCCACTGACAAACCAGAGGAAAATGAAGTAGTAGACTATTAATATCATGGATGCAGGTGACTCCTTCATCGCCTTCCAGAGAGTTCCATAATCATCCATATGAAATTTTATGTTCAAAGCCAACATTGCAAATATGAAGATACAGAGAAGAGCTGATGAAGAAACAAACAGAAAGAAGTACCGGTAATTGTGCTGCAAAAAGATCAAAAAGACCTGGCTTAATTAAGACAGAATCCATTCTTTCACTAACACGTACAAAAGTTGAAAACATGTTGACCTTGATTGGAAACAATCTTTGAGGAATTCAAATTCCTCCATATAGTCATATAAATTTTGTAAGTTCGTGTTCTTTTCATTGTCCTCACTGTTTCAGAATACATTAAGCTAGTAGCAAGTGTTGGCCAAATCCATTCCATCAATTAATGTAAAATTTTTGAACTACAGCTCAGAAAGATGACATCCCTCAATGAGTAATTCTTACAATGGACAATTTTTCTTGTCAAGCAAAAGTGCAAGTGATAAATTCTTAATACTAGAATTGAATTTCGATTTGAACAATAAATACCTCAGAATGACAGGAATTTGTTAGAAGATCCAGGTCAAGGAAAATCATGGAAAGACTTGCATTGTACAGTAGATAGTTTCAAAGAGATTATGGAACATAAAATTTTCTGAAATGCATCTTTTTAAATGTTTTAGAAGGTTCTCAACTTGGACCAAGCACCCAATTCAACCAAAAAAAAAAAAAAAAAAAGCAATCTAAATAACATACCAGTCCAATGCATTGGCCCACCCAAGGAAAATGGTGATCAAATCGCTCTATGCAGTTACCACATACAGAGCATTTGAGCAATGGGGTGGACGATATATCATCAATGTATCGCAATACTTCACTTTCACAAGAAAACCATTGACAGTCACTAATTTTGTGCAGGGTAAGTGTGGAGTTGGTGTGTGTCTCCCATTAATGTCTACTGAGGTTGAAGAGTTGTAACAAATCTCTTCCTTTGGTGGATGTAAATTGCGAGGAACAATGCCTGGGTCACAGGCTGAAGTGAGAAACAGGAGCACCAATACATATAATGAGTTCATGACTACCTATGGTCAAATAAACTGAAGGCATACAAAAAATTGACCAGGATAAAGGCCAAAGCAATAAAACATGATAAAAACATCACGGGAACAAGAAAACCATACTGGATAAAAAAGAAATGAACATTTTTATGGAAAATTGAACAGAATTGTTACAACAAGAATGGCATAGCCGGCATTATATGCTGGAAATTCATGGAGGAGGTTCCTTGCCACATTTGTTCAAAAAAATAACAACGGGAACCACGATGAGCAACAAGTTAATAACCAATGACCTGGCATCTGGACCAAATATAAGCCTCCCTTCGCAGAAGAAAATCTGCAAGATGAACCCAATTAATGAAACAAAAAACATTCAGGAAAATGTTGAGAAAGAATATATCAATTTATATACTTAAACCAATTAAATCTATAAATATTTTTCTTTTCCTTGTTGTTTAGAGTAGAACCACAAGCATCTAAGCTCGGGATTATGAGGCTGTGATGTCCCATTTCTTTCCCATCTAAAGATTGTTTATCACTGGTCAATACCAAAGCCTACTCTGAAGATTTTGCCCATAATACTTAAAGATAACAGCATTCAATCATTAACAAGGTCCGTACACCACATCAATCAGGTCTCAGGTTCAACACTTCCCAATGCCCTTCTGTAGCCATACAAGGTCAAAGGCCTACTTTCCCTATGTGTTGAGTACCAGCAATATTTAAAAAAAAAAAAATGGAAGGAACTTTATAAAATGCTGCTCAATACAATACAAACAACAACCAATTCATCAATTCATTGAAAAAGCATAGAAACATCACTCCAAGAAAACCCATCAGTCTAACTGTTACAGAAACAAACTATATAAACAAAACCCAGATCATAATTTTGACAATACATGGTTAACACGCTTACATTGCGTTCCTTCCAAACATGGTTAACACGCTTAGCCATTGAGGAGGTAGATACTTTTACTAAGAAGGGGCAAAGCAGAGAGAGAGAGAGAGCAGACAAAGAATATTTGAAACCTACTGTGGTTTAAAAAAATGAGCTGGAAAAAAATGATGGGATCTGGGTTTTGCTGGGGCTTTCGGAACTTTCGTTGAGGCTTAAAGCCCTTTGTTGGAAAATGAGACAAAATTATTGGATTTTCCTCTTTTTTTTTTTTCTTTTTTTTTCTTGAGAAAAGGAGACTATTTAATTTTAAGTGAACTAAAAATAACATTTTTAATATAATTGATTTTTATGGGTTAATTTGGACACTTAATTTTTTTAATCCGACAATATAAAATATTTCTCCAGACCAGAACACGTATAAGCCAAATTGAAACTTTAATTTAATTGATAATACTATCCCTTTTTTTTCCTTTGTAATATAAATGTAAAAAATATTATAAATTTTGATTTTAATATAAATGTAGGGAGAATCCCTTCAAGTATAGATTTTCAGTTTATCTGTGTAGTAGATTTTTTTCCCCCTTATCTTTTTATAAAGAAAATGCCATTCAAACACATTAATCAGAATGAACTATCATTAGGAATTCTTAAGAGTAAATAATTATTCCAACATTTTCTTTTTACAGTTGATGCTATTTTTGAAACCAAGTAATTTGTTAATTTTATTTTAAGCAAAGCATCCCTCAAAAATTGTCCTAAACATGACAAGCAGAAGGGCCCAAAAATAGAGCCCTAAAAGTCCGGATATTAAGTCGTAAATTAATACTCGCTATTTCTCCATCCAACAGCACCAACGGCAGCTCCAACCATCACGACCACAGGAGTGGAAGAGTAAGTTTCTCCAACAGGCACAAAGGTGCAGATGCCTCTCACCGTCATTGGCTTCCCATAAAAACCATAGACCACCTTATTTGAACCCACAACTATACTTAGGGGTGAGCATTCGGTTAAACGGTTCAATTTTATATAATTCGATTCGGTTTTTGGTTAATCAAATTAAAAAAATAAAAACCAAAACCGAACCGAAATAAATTCAGTAAATTCGATTTGTAACCGAATTATTTCGGTTTGATTTCGAAATATTTCGATTTTAACTAAAATATTTTGCTATATAAAAAAAAAAATCATTACGGAGATGTTTTGTACTAACACTTAGTCCACTAACCAATGAAGTAACATCTTGTTATCAATTAATCTTTTTTATAAACAATCACAAAGCCCTTGAAGATTTTAACTAAGCTTTAATGAAAACGAGTCCAAGTGTAATAAATTTGCTCATTCAAACACACGAGTATCCTAATTAATTATACTTTATCACTTTCTTTTCTTACCCCGACGATCCTCAAAATTTACTTCCCATCTGCGTGTTTTAGTTTCAATAAGAATGAAGATTGAAAAGTTAGGGATTTAGAAATTAGGAAATTTTTTTTTTATTTCGGTTTTCGATCGAAACCGAAATTTTTTTCTAAAAACCGAACCGAACCGAAATAATTTCAGTTTTTTCGATTCAGTTTTATATTGTATAATTTTATATTTAAAACCGAACCAAATTTCATAATTCGATTCGGTTTTATTCGGTTTTCGGTTAACCGAACCGTTTACTCTCCCCTAACTATACTCTCTAAACTAATTGCAACAAGATTTTCACTATTCAGTTTTGAACATAAAAACAACCAAAAATGCAGTGCTTCTTCATCCACAAGCACTTCTTTGGTGACAGAATCAAAAAAATTGAGCCCCTTATTTCTTATTCGGGCTTTATCAAGTTGAAAATGGCTATCAGCATGCATTTGATTCCATGAAATGCTTGCTTGGCTCTGTGATTGAAAAAGCTGCTTTTGAAGGGACATGCAGCTTCCAAAACTACAGGTGTGATTGGAGTAAATTTTCAGCTTTCGACAATTCTCTCATAAAAAAGCAAGCTAGCCTCTGCAGCTAGAACTTCCTCCTCAGAAACCCTGTATACTTCAGAGTCCGAGATACAAAACCAGTGCAGAAGGGAAGGTTTGCAATTTTCATCAGGAGGTTCTTCATGTGACTCTGATTTCACACTTCTGTAAACAGTATAATGCCCACCACCAGCTCTTCCAAAATGCTCCACGACAGAAACAAGACGATATGCCTGAGGTTCTGAAGGGACTAATTCGCAAGCTGCATTGAACTGTCAAAAATAACAAACACATGCACAATTACACATCACAAATATCAAGTTAAGAACAATCTCAGAGGTTATAGGCCAACACCACCGAAAGATCCAAGATAGCAATCTTGTCCCGCTATAGAAAATACATAGCAGCATATTTTTTTATATTCTCAATATAAGATAGACAGAGATGACAACTGCAATGATGACAGTTTGTTTAACCTTTTTTCAGGTAAATGACAGACTCAATAATTTCAGGAGATCAAAAGCAAGAGCCACGACCTAATGAGAGAGTTCCTAGACAAGGTGAAATCTGTCAAAGAACCACTGAAACTAAAAGCTTAAGCTGTTACCTGAGGCCAGAAGAAAGAATGGAGGTGGTAGGATTCAAACTCATGTTCATTTGGTCAAAGAGGCTTTGGTACCACGTCAAAGGACTATCTCAACTCAAAAGCTTAAACTTTTAAGTGATGGAATGGTTTTATATTGATTTACTTCTTTGACAACATAAAAAAGAATGTATATGATTTCTAAAACTGCCCTTTAATTTCATTTTGTGAGAGCAAAACTATGAAACATATTCTATTCCACTTAATAATTGAATCCATAACTAAGATTTCGCGATTAAACTTGGTATGCATTGTCTCCTTTACACTTCAGTGAAAAACTAAGTTTCAAAATTGTTGGTGAACAAGCTGCATGTACAAAAGAGCATGAGTGCCAAAGCATGTTTCTCAACTCCTTTGTTGACTCAGGCCACATGCCCCATACGCTTCCTAAATATGTGTATTCAATTATTCAAGAGTTCATGAGCATAGTGAGGCCAATTTGGCCTTGGACTAAACAATGTTGTAGCCCACCTATTTTACAATCACACCCCCATCAGAGCTTGGAGCTCGATTTAATCCTAAATTGCTTGGCACAAGTTGAAGTTACTTGACCACTAAACTAGCTAACACCACTAAGTTCCTAAACTTATAAAGCATTAATAATATTAACATTAAAAAGCATAGAACGATACATTTATATCAGCAATCATTCAACCTACCTTATCATTAGCTTGCAAGCTCAAGATGTCTGTGGTTTGTGGTATCTTGGATTGTCCCAGGAAAGTTTCTATCTGTGCAGGGGATCCAAATTCATTTGCTGCTAATAATTTTGAAACATTTCTTCCATAAATGCTGTTCAGCATTCTGGTGTGATATTGCACATCAAAATGGTTTAGATCAGAGCTTGGTTTTCGACATTGCATCTCTTTCATCATGAATGGAAGCAGGTTCAAAGTTAATGGGAAGCTGATGTGGCCCTTCAAGCATCAACAAAGCAGTGTCGTATTATTTTGAATCCTCATACTGTTAATTCTAACATGCTAATACTAAGAAAGTGCGTAAAATATCGTTCAAACAAACTGTGAACAAATCTGGACATGCTATACCACCAAACCAGGGAAATTTGAATACCTGAAGTTTGACTATTTCTCCAAAAAAATTTATTGAAGCACGTTGCAATTGAATGCAAAGAATCTGTAACAAAACAACAAGAGTGATGAGTGTGACAGCATATTGCACTGCATTTCTACAACCAAGTGAGAACAAATGCTCTTATTTATAATTTTTTTTATATAATTTATTATTATTATTATTATTATTATTATTATTATGGGTGTGTTCCAATTTTATTAGGGTTTTGACAAATGCGGAACTCAAACCTAAGACCTCACCTCTTTTACTTATGCAAGAATACCACTCAGTTAAAACTCATTGGTTACAGACAAATCGCCTTCGACAAATAAAATAGCAGGAACAAAGTTCAAGAGAACAAAAACTTGAGGAAATTAAAAAATCTACAAGCAGGCAGCTGTTTTTCCATTCTAAAACTACATTATCCACACAAGAAATGAAAGGCAGCTGTAATGCATGCCAGATTCAGACTGCTTATAACCATAAACCACAGCTGCTTTTCCTGACTACCTGCCATTTTCTCCCACACCCAACCATCCCAAAACTCCATCCCACATTATTCAATAAAATTCGAATCTGAGTTACTTGCTCCAGAGGATTTCATTATTTGATTAATGAAAACCCAGGATTTCATTACTGATGAAAAGATCCCAAAGCTTTATACCAACTTTCCAGATGGTGATACCTCTAAGAATTCTAATACACTTTGAATTCCATTACAACAAATAAGAAGTTTGGAGTCAAAACTTTATACCTTTGGACTATGAGCAATTCTTAGCTGCTTTGAAGTGCGAGAAAAATTATTTGACCATGGTAGACTTTCTAGATGAACAAGGCTATGGCAGGTACACGAGTCTTGCTCATTACAACTGTTAAGTTTTTTTATCTCCTTCTGTAACACAAAGTCATGACTAACCATGTAAGTATTACATAATTGGACCAACTTAGAAGGAAGAGGCAAGGCAAAAAAAAAAAAAAAAAAAAAAAAAGCCAAAAGAGAAAAGGAAAAGAAAAAGAATGAATTCAGGGTGTAGGAGAAGAGGAGAGATGCATAAAAGGGGTCTGTTGAACATCTACAAGTCTGTTCCTTTTTGCCAGTAAGCTAACCATTGGCAATCGAGGAAACACAGAGACGATGTCAATGACAGGATTACCTCTGTTGCTCCTCTTAAAGATAAATACTTTATTGCAGCAATGTGCCAACAGTGGCTGCAGCTGTAATTCTCAATTTGCTCAGAAACAGTGAATTGCCTGAGGCAATCTTCCAATGTACATCCAGCCATCTAGTATCATGTTCAGAAAAATGTAAAGCAGGCTTTATGGCCAGTTAGAAAAACCACAGAGACAAAATTCAAGTGGTAAGCTTAAATAAATAAAACTAAATGTTGGGACCTTTGTTTAACATACAATGGTGCCACCACCTTCAAGCATTGGCAAAAGAGGCAAGCTATGAAAAAATTGAAAATTCAATGAAATCTGCAAAAAACAAAATAAGTAAATAAATAAAAAATGGAGCTAAAATATTAGGAGAAATTCACAAGATTGAACACAAATGATTGTGAATTAGAAATGCAAGAACTTCAAATGTTGGAACCTCTTATAAATGCAAAAGCACTCACCAAATCATTATTAGATTGCATATGTTTCGAACATCATGTATCTAATTATACAAAATAAAGGCAGAGGGATCACTGATATTTTACAAGGAGAAAGTGTTTTATGAGGACTGTACAAACCTTAGACGAACAACTTTGACATGTTAAAATGCTACTAAGAATTCCATCAAATGGTCCGAAGAAGTGCTGTTGCCACCTTTCTTGCTCACTCTGGATTTCAATCCTATTTGGAGTAAGAATTCTACAGCTAGGAGAAGCAATTGCATCTGCCAAAGAATGATGTTTTGGAGGATAAGAATCAGAAAATTCGTCCCTTAAAGAGCACAGGAGATGAAGGAATGCTTCTTCGGCATCCTACACACACAAACGATGAATCAATCATTCAGACATCATATTTGTTCAAACAATTGAGAAGGTCCATTCATACCTGTTGGCTCGTCAAATTAAAATTTTGAATAGAAGGAGCCATTGCAAGCATCACCTTCCTTGGACTCAATACAATTCTCTCTCTGCCAATCACAGACAGTTCTGCAGAAATGGACACTCATCACTTAGGTTTCAATAATCATGTCAAAACTATTTGTAATTATATGGTTTCCAGAAATTTCTGGAAGTTCATTAGTAATTTCTAAACTATCTATATTCATTCACCTTCCAATAAAGCAGCCAAAGCCACTGTAAGCTGCAAACTCTCCCTCGATTCCTCACTGGTAAATGATTCACATTCGTCTATAACCCTTCGAAGAAAAGGTTGGAAATTTGAACAGCTAGCTAAAGCCTGAAAATCAAGAGTTCAATGATAACAAAACAACTCCTACCAATTCAAGGCAAAAAAGAAAACAGCCTAGTTGATAGAAAATGATGATACCTGTAAGATAACATTCAAAAAGCAATTACTGCCAAGATTTTGCAAGCCAGGAACCAAGACGAGCTTCTTTGGACGATTATTATTCTCTCTCTGGTTCAAGTCCAACCAAGAAGGCAAGGCACTTAGTATTAGATTCCAAGATTTGGGGTCTTTTATTACAGCCAAAACCAAACCAGAAACCCCCAAAACAGCTGCAAGCCCTGATGTTGAAACCCATTTCTTCTTCATGTGACGCAGATTGTCTATAAGTACTGCCTCCTTCCTTCACTCACTCCAAAAGGACTAATCGCACTGTGACTATCAATCAAGACTCAAAAGCTAGAGGAAAATGGTTTTTTTTTGGTTGTCTTTATCAAGATAGAGGTAGAAGATTAGAAAGAAATTAAAGGATATTTGCCCCTACTAACCTTTTTTTTTAAAAGAGTATAACTATTCTATTTTTGACTGCTAAAGTTTTAACCTGGAGGGGTTGCTCATACTAAAACTAAGGAGCTTACTTGGGAGGTTTCTACGTACGACGCTTAATAAGTCATTTCTAGGAATGGCAGTGGAGCGGGACAGGAATGGCCTTGAAAATTTTATCTCATCTCCGTCTTGCGCTTCACACGGCACAATATTTTTTATATCATCCCCACCTTAAATGGGGGTGGAAATCTCCACGAGATACCGTTGCATCGTTAAAGTTTTTATTTTTATCATATCCTATTTTATTTTATTATTAAATTTTAAATTATAATAAAAAAATTATAATTCATATAAAAAATAAATTCTAAAAGTCAGTAGTCATAAATTTTATATAAAGTATAATTATAATTTAAGGAATGGACCAAGATAAATAAGGCAAATGAGACTAGGTAGGCAAATATCATTCCCACCCCATCTCCATTCAAAATTAATATGGCCTCGCCCCATTCCACAATCAACTCGGGAATCTCCGCGTTGACTAGGGTAGGACTCGTTGGAATAGAATAAATTGCCATCCCTAGTCATTTCACACGAGATTATACTCGGAAGATTAAAATTTAGCACATGTCCATAAAAAATTTAGTTAATACTAGTTGTTTTTTGTGCCGTAAACTCGAATAAAATAAACTTATTTTAATTTAATATTATGCTTTATATATAAATATATTAAATCAAACATATAATAAACTTTCACCAAATTTAGTGATTTTTAATCAAATTTTGCATTTAATTTATTTTCTTTTATTTTTATTATATATTTTTTACCAAAAAAAAAAACATGATTTGTTATTCTTTATGCAATGATTTTTAAATAAAGCATGTAATAATTTAAATAAAAAATTTAATTCAAAATTTTAAAAATACCTTAATTTTTTTCTATGAGATTGTATAAAAAAAAATAAATAAAGTTACAATTAGTGTAAAAATTAATAAATGAAAACATAATTTTTTTTTCATATTTAATGTTGATGAGAAGATTATTTTTTGAAAGCATATATATATATATATGTTCAATCACAAAATAATCAGTAATATTAGCATTAAAAATTGTATTTAAATCATTAAGTGGTTCTTTAAAAAAATTATTTTAATAATTTTATTTGAAAAAATGATTTTAGAATATTCAAAAGAAAAAATAATGGTAAATGGTTGGTATTATGTGTGTAGATGCATAGTTATTTTTTAATAAAACCCAATATATATATATATATATATATATATATACACACACACACATTAATATAATGTATTCCTTCAAATTATTTTAAGGAATACATTGAATGAGTTTGAAGTTAATAAACTGAAATAAAAATAATTATAAAAATTGATCTCAATAAATTTTTCTACATAAAGAAGAAGAAGAAAACACATGTGAATTCCAATTCCAATTGAATATTTTAAAAATATTTTTTTCTAAAAAATTGATACACCCAAAAAAAAGGAAGAAGAAGAAGTTATGTTACTCTCATTTAAAAATCATAAGAAATTACCATATAAATTATATTAACGTATTTTAAAAAAATAATATTATAAAATTTTATTTAAAAATCTATACATAAAGAAAAATAAATCAAATTTGTTAACAAAAGGAATTATATATAAAAAAATATATTTGGATGAGAATTTTCATAAGAAATGACAAATTGAAGAAATTATCCTAAAATGTAAAGCAAAAAAATTATTTTAAGAAATGACAAATCAAAGAAATCATATTTCTTCATTGCCAAACCGCATGGGAAATCTAAAAAAAATTATAATTTTTTTTCCATAATTTTTGAATAAAATTCAATAATAAAAATATTAAAAATAAAATGTTGGAAAAAAAAAAGCAAAAGCAAAAAAGAAAAAAAGAAAGAAAGCTAGGCCTACTACACTCTTGGGCGTGTAAAAGTAGTCTTGCACCCCCATTCAGTGTCGAACATAAAGCCGAAAAAAAGTACACTTCAATAGACCCAATCGTTATCTTTTTATTTAATCTTGTCTTCGGATTGCATTTGAAAAAAAAAAAAAAAAGCAAAACAAAACAAATAGATGATGGATCGTCTACTTGCAACTTCTAGAAAACTTGAGTTCCCTTGAAACTTTGTGAGAAAATCAAGATTTCGAGTTTTTGACCTCTAAAAATCAGCATCATTTTTGCTTCAAAACAACTTTAAAACACTAAAATAAAGTCAATGAATTCATTTAGAACCATAAAACTCATTTTAATACACATAAAAAACAAATCAAATTCAAAAGCTTAATATATTTTGGAGTCTCAACCTACCTCCTCAAATCATTATATGACTTGAAACCACTATAAATAAACTTTTCTCTCTAAATTAAACAAATTAAAGGGATGATCGTCGATCAAAGTGATCGAAAAGGGCTACACCGTGGCTTTTTCTCTTTTCCCTTTTCGCTCTTTGTTTTTGTAACACCTAAAATTTTCTTTTTCATAATATGCATGTGGGTGTGTCTTAATTTTATTCTTGATTTATATATAAGATTAATATTTTATTTTATTTTTATTATGTAAACTATTTTAAATTAAATGTGTTGAGAGATTAAGGAAATACAAGATAATTAGAGTTAGTTAAGTTAGATTAAATTTATTACAAGAAATGGATCAAAGTAATAGAATTTTGGAGTCTTAAATGGAAGTACAAAAGTGAAGATGAAGTAAGTTTCAAGATGAACTAATATAAAAAGAAAAAAATTGAAAAATAATGGTAACATAGTTTTTGAAAAAAAAAAAAAAAACGAGCAACCTTTTGTCTCCTCATTTTTCCCTATTGCTTTATTCCCTTCTCCTTCCTCTCTCAAACCATAACCCTTCCACTTTTTTGCACCATGTCTCACCCATTTCTAACCCATTTCACTATATATATATTATGTTAGTTTTTGATGATATAAATTGAAATTAAGTAAGATTGAAGCTTGTAGAATTAGTGCTCTTGAGCTTGAAATTCGTACCATAATGAAAGGTATGATTTTTTCTATTATTTTCATTTATTTGATGATTTCATAGATGGTTATTGAAGATTATGAGATTAAATTATGATGAATTTGTCATTTAAGCTAAGATTGATAAAGTTAGGGTTTTGAAACCCATTTGAGAAAAAATATGATTTAAGTGATTTTAATTGATTATATTATTATTAATTATCTTGGGCTAATGATTTGTGAAGTTAATTTAGAATATAATTGACTTGATTTTGTTATATGAATTATTTTAGGATTTAATGGATTAAATTAGGGATTTTGTAATTATAGGATGTTATAGAGTTTAGATTCTACTAAATTTTTAGTATGTGATTTATGGAAGTGTTCTTGTGATGATGAAGTAATTTGGGTGGTTTATGGAAGTGTTCTTGTGATGATAAAAATATGTTCTAGAAAGGTTGAAGATGATGAATAGTGAAATACAAAATTTGAAATTTATTAGTTAATTGTTAAGTAAAGAGTTTAATTATGAGTTTGTTGATTTAAGTAAAAGATTTATTGTAAATTATTTTAATGATAAGAATTTAATCGCTCGAGAAGGATAATTGTTGAATTACAAAGAAACTAAGGTGAGAATGGGCCAACTCATCACAATGACTTTATGAGTTTGATTGTGTTATTATGTGTGAATATGATTAAGTGATTAAAGATATTATATGATGGAATTTATATGTGATTGAATATACTATGTGAATGTATGAGTGTCCGAATATGGTTATGTGATTAAAGGTGTTATGTGATGGAATGTCTTTGTGATTGAATATCTTATGTGAACGTATAGGTGTGTAAGTATGATTATGTGATTAAAGATGGTATATGATGGAATATATATGTGATTGAATATATTATGTGAAGGTATAAGTCCATGACATCTTTCAATATACATTTGAATCATGAGCATTAATTTATATATTTTATGAAATGCATTGAAATCATGTTATCCATGAAAGGAAAATGGTTTTGATTTTAAGAAGAAATATATTGATAAAAGTACAAAGTATTGATAGAAGAATTGATAATGGTCCTACTAATACCATATAGTTTTGATAAAGGATATTAGTAGGAGAATCGATAATGGTCCTACTAATATCATATGGTTTTATAAAAGATGTTGCTAGGGTAATCGATAATGGCCCTATTAATATCATATAGATTTGATAAAGTGTATTGGTATCGAATCGATAATACTAATTCCATATGGCTTTATAAAAAATGTTAGTAGGAGAATCGATAATGGCCCTACTAATATCACATGGTTTTCATAAATGGTATTGGTAGGAGAATCGATAATGGCCGTAGTAGTATCATATGTTTTAATAAAGGGCATTGGTAAGGGAATCGATTATGGCCTTACTAACACCAAATGATTTATGGCATAGTTTGATAAAAGCATTATTTTACCCAAGTATTGAAGAAAATGAATTTGCATACATCATGAAAGTTCATGAAATGTCATGCATAATCATGCTTATTAAGTGTTAGCTCATGTTTGTCTTGTAGTGTAGGTATTGATGCAAATATTAGGGATTGATGCTACTCATGGTGTCTAGTGACTCGTGTGCTTGCCTTGATTGTCCTTAAATGAATGAAGAATGAATTATATTTTAATGAATAAATATAAGTTTATGTATGGATGCTTTTATGAATATTAATTGTAAGAAAGTTATGTTTCTAAATTTGGAAAATTATTGCTAGTAATCAAGTACGAACGAGTAAGTTGAATTTATTTATGAAAGTTGAACAATGATGATATTTTTAAAATTTAATGATGAATAGTG